TAATTAATTTGTATATGTCGCTCTAATCTATAATTTAATAATATTTCGTATCATCTGTTGATGCCGATGCTATATGTTTTGTCCTGAAATACCAAAATATTTTCATTTACATTAAAAGAATAGGTATATAAAAAGTAAACATTATCAGTAGAATCTACTCGGGGTTTTGTTTTTACACATTAATTGAAATGAGAAATGATATTACTCTATCAGTACTAACACAGGCAGAGGCATTTACGTAATATTTCTGTATCTTTTATATAAAAGTAAGTACGTGTTTTAACTAACTTAGAAGGAACTTTGCAGTCTTTTTGGTGATAAAAAAGATGGGGTATTTTTAGTTAACGACAAACAATTCTTTCATCGGAGAGACATAATTAATGTTGGTATTATACTTCTCACTATTATCACTATATATGCTAATTACTCCATGCGAATCATTGCATGAATATGATACAGCATGGGCATAGCGTAGCATGGATCAGTCAGCAAAATTATACCGCAGTGCGGCTGCGTCATTTTTTCATCTATTTCCGGTCTGTAGTATTTCATTTTGTGTTTTTTGTTTTCCGTTTGCGTTAAGGATCGTTTCCATTTACGTTTGCCCAATCGTTTTCCGTTTTATTTCGTTTGAGTTGGAACTTGTTCAGGGTGTGTACATAGACATGATGTTACTAACTCGCAGTTTTTTCTTGTCTCTTTGTAGAATTCCTATCCACAAAGACAATGGTTGAGGTAAGTAACAATTACAGAGACTTTTATATAAAAAAAAAAATTATAGACACTTTATGCAGACGAAGGTCGTTGAAATATATCCGGTGAATAAAATAGGTGCTTGACAAAATTATTCCAGCTAAATATAGGGCGAGTCATCACATAAAAGATGAGAAATGGCTGTTGTATGACGTCCTTTCCCAATATTTAAGGTAAAAATATTCAAAATAGTGCATTTTTTTACTAGATAAAGTTATTTTCTCTTCTTGTTCCATTGATACATTTAGCCTATTGTATTTACTTTCTCAGATCTATATATATATATTTTTTTCCTGTTTGTTTGTTTTTTTGTTTTTAATTTTGTCACACATTTCATGTCGTCGAACATCTGCACTTTTAAATACACATATGTGCATTTTTTTGTATTGCATATTTTTTAAGGTAATTATCAGAAGGAATTTATGTATTATTTTCAGGGATTTTTTTTCAAACAATAGACTAGATAAGAAATGGTCTTTGTTTACGATTTGTGACCTTGTGCCTATTTTTCATCTGTGTAGTCATAAAAACAATGAAGTTATTACCAGAAACTTTTTTCGTTTTCGTTTTACCACAAAAAGCTTAAATACCAGGTAAATCTTCATTCACAAGTTGTAACGTCTTCCGTACTTCAGAGTACCATTTGTTTCCATGCGCTGCTGACACTTGCCAATAATTCATTCCGCTTTCTGCATCAAAACTTCCCCAACAGCCCATTCTACATACACTATCATCCTTTACATCGCCCAACCCGCCACTTTGCCATCGCTTTTGGAATTAATTACGTCTATAACAATTCAAAGCGATATTGTTACTTAAGAATGTGTCGGTTTTATTATCGTGTACATGGAGAGAGTGGTGCTACAAGTGTTGCGCAAGTCGTGACATTGTTTAATACTTCCGTATGAACTGCTCTCTCGCATATACAAGCGTGTTCTAGGGTTAGTGCCTTCCGTCACTGCTATGACCGACATGCACTCCCTATCATGTTCGTCTATCTCCACACACTCCTGTGTCATTTGCTTGTCTTTGGATATACTACATCGATGCAATATAGACATCTCCTTGCCTTCTCCGTTGAAAATCTACCAACGGAATTTTTAACAGATTTTAAATTTGTAAGCAATCCGCTGTTCTGTCTGAACCGCCGCGGGATAGTTAACAAGCGTAATAATGTTTGGCAATGTTCTCTACATAGCGATTGTACACTAAACATCCAAGAGAGCGACGTCTTTCAATAAAGATTTCGAGTTAAGCTAAATAACTGGTAAACTTAATCATTGGGCTGTTTCGTCCTGATACTCATCTGAGATACTGGGGACTTAAAACTAGATAAGGAAACGTTTGCAGTGCATTAGGTTGACGAATAAAGACAAATGTATACTGCAATATTTGGTTAATTGTTCAATTCAGAGGCAGTGGAGTTAAGAAAGAATGAACTTCATGTCGAAAGATTTCTGTGTAGAAGTACGACAAAATTGGGAAAATGCCAATAAAAACCTAAAGCCATGCAAAATCACATCTATCGAAAAAGAAGATAATTTATATTTAAATAGTATCTCATGCACAACCTGACAGAATACATTCCAACTCCAAGGTTAGTGTTAACCTCGGGGAGTTGTGGTTCACCGTCTAACATGTTGTTACATGAGAAATTCACTAAAACAAGCAAGTAAACAATCAAGGATTTAATATGTCGATGCACAAGACGTTAACCTGAAATGTCAAACAATAAAATAAAACCAATTTGTATCAAGCTTCATTTTAACAGATCATGTATGACGAGCGAACTTGTATCAAATTGCCTTCCGTGATCCTTTTGTAAGGTGAAGCACTTCTGGTTGAAATCTGTAAACACAGCCATTACAATGCAATCTCGGCCAGCTTCACTACATCCTTTCGTTCTTTACAGAAAAATGTGTTACCTACTTTGTATGTTTTAATACTAGATCTGATTCTATAGGGATACGATGTCCGTCACGTACTTATATTTAGTCACGTGTTATGACAGTCACGTGATTGTAATCACGAACAAGGACAAGAGACCCGACATTGATCTTCACTTCCACTATTGTTAGATCTTTGTTTTATTCCATAAAAAATAGATTTTCCTTTTTTTTATTCTTTCCCCATTTTTACTTTTGATTATATGAAATTTCAAAAATCTTCTTCAGAAATAGAGATAATTTTTTTTCCTAGTAAAATCATAGATGGTCGACTGTTGGCCATTTTTTTTATCTGGTTAGTTCAAAAAATCGAGAAGGGCACAAATAGGAAAGAAAGAAAATCTATGTTTGAGATTTAGAGAAAAATCGATTTAGTACTTATCGAGAAACTGCAATAAGGAATTGTCATTGTCAGAATCCAAGATGACTGCTTGTCAGTCTTTTGTTTTATTGAAATTAAAGAAGACAACTACGAGTCAAAGGTAACCTATATTTGAAATTTGAAAAAATCTATCCAGTACTTCTCAAGAAATATCTGAAAGAATCCATCCGCTACTTCGCGAGAAAAAAGTGATAAAAAGAATTCTTAACGGACGGAAGACGGACGACGGATGATTCGAATAGCCTGCCATCTGATGCTGGTGAGCTTATCAACACTTTTTTATATACCTTATAGACATAACCAATAATAGATATGGTAGTCTCGTAATTGCATATCAGTATATTTATCTCTCCTTGTATAAAAACACATGATAGTCTCATTACTATATGCAAATAGATATGTCATGGTGTTATCACCTAAAAGTACATGATAGTTTCGTTATCATCTTAAAACACGATAGTCTCCTTAACATATGAAAGTACATCATCTTCTCGTTATTATACTGAAGTACATGATAGTCTAGTTATCATATATATATATAAATACATACTGTTTCGTTAATACACTGAAGTACATGATAGCCTCGTTATCATATATACAGTATGATGTCTAGGTATTAAACTTTTTGTATTATATAGGTACACCCCTAGTATCCAAATATAGGAACGCCTCGTAAGGTAAGTAGAAAGTAATATTCTCCAACGTACAGAAGTAATTTCTAAAAGGATCGTAACCATGTAAATTATATATAGCAAACGACAATTACTGTTAATTATGGGATAAATAATTAAACAAAGTGCTGGAGATACTTCAAAATTTACATTTTTATATGTTTTGATGTTTAAAGCATCAGTGCTTGCCAATGTTCGCTTCTATTTCTGATAAACCTGAACTACCTTCTGTTGGTCAATATATTTCTGTTAGAATGTACATTCCTGACTTTATGTATCATCAAATTGTTCAGTTTTACCACTTACTGTCGATTTTAACTTAATCGGTGTTTGTCAGTCGTAGATGATAATATACTGATTTAGTTATCATCATACCTCTGGCACGAATATCGGTCAGGTAATTTTGACAGTAATTATAACATAAGTTCCCTCTTATAAGAATCTTTCACACTTGTAGTAACCTTGCTTCGATGTTGATGAAAGTTCTAAGAGGATTTGCTAAAATCATTTCAATGTCACCTACATGACTGTTCAACAAAATACTACAATAATTTCCCTTTCCATCATTCTATTACAAGGATGACCGGCTTACAACTGTGATGCAACCAGCACCTCGGGTATTGACAAGTCCTAATCATTCACAGTTTTCTACAGTCTTTAGAAACATTATTAAACGTTTCCTGGTACAACATCTGGATAACACACAACAAACTGTAATACTGATAAACGTTTGATCGGTCATAAGTACCATATTAATAGTAACATAAAATGATGCTGTGACGATCCTTGTCACCAGTCAGCATAGGCATACAATAAAAAGTCCAACATTAGGGTTAGGGTTATTAGGGTAGACAATATCGTCCGGTCAAGGTCACGTCGAAAAAGATTTCTTCATTAAAGTCGTATTTATCAATAATAGTTATTTTCATAAGTGTGACTAAATGTTCAGTTTAAAATTAATTTGAAGCAGAAATTAACAAATCCTTTCCAATAACTTGAAAAAAATGGTCTGAACAATTGATTGATTGTTTGATTGATTGATTTTTTGATTGATTGATTGATCGATCGATCGACCGACCGACTGACTGACTGACTGACTGACTGATTGATTGATTGATTGATTGATTGATTGATTGATTGATTGATTGATTGATTGATTGATTTATCGATTCCGCATTTTTGTAGTGTTCGACAAACATAAAACACCTGAAATATAAATATGAACGCAGATATAAGAAAAAACATTACCTTGACCGGAACGCAGATGAGAACGAAGATAAGGTCAGCGGATGCCAGATTCACTAAGAAAACATTGGTGATACTGCGCATACGTGGAAACAGAACAATGGCGACGATGACGAGGACATTACCAACGAGACCAACAAGTCCAACGAAGGAATAAAAAACAACTGTAGGTATAAACTCGTTGAGTGGAAGGTGGTTTAAAGCTTCGTTATAATCATACTCATAGGTATAGTTGCCATAGTAATCCAGATAAACATCCTCCCCGTTAGACGGGGACGCCATCGTGTTCACATCTGTAGGATTCACCACACCGGAAGTTACACCTGAAACGCTTACATTCATTGCGATTCGATGTAATGACTGTATACGACAGTATTAATGTCCGGGGATACTCAGGTATAAAGTCACGAATGTGTCCAACTGCGAGTTTTCATAGCAGTGACGGTCGGGCTTCAGATACCTTCATATATATTCTGTGTCGTCACAGCTTAACTTTTGGATCAATGCACAGTATATTCCTTATCTCAAAGCAATGCTGTTCCCTTCCTTATCGCTCTGAAACATAGAACATATTTATTTTTTGGAATACCATGACGAAACCAAACATCAACATGCCGAATATGTCGTGTGTTTAGATGTCGAAACTTCAATAGATACACTGTATGACTTCGGGCCCACCCCTATAAACTGACACCTCGTGTCAACATAAAACGGAAGAGATCTCTATCTTTATTTAATCTAGTGTTAGCATTAAACGTCTTTGGCAGAAGGAGTCTACAAATAACAGGACACACTCCGCGAAACAATCTGATAAAATATTTACATTTCAAAATCTATCAGTATATAAACCAATATACCACTCTGGGAAAATTCATTTCTCGAATAAAAAAAATATCATTACAAATGTGTCTTTGTCTGACTTGTCCGTACATTTCACTAGATATGACCCCCATCCACAGCGGCATTAACACTTAGTCTAAATGTGCGTTTCGTTTTAGTGTAAAAAAGTCTTTATCAGATAACATTTTTATCTCGACTCGCAGGGTTAGTCAACAGTCGGAATTGTTAAGCAGTTTTGAATATTAGGTCCCAAAGCGTGCATTAGATCTGTTTTTTCCACTACTGCTGTCCAGGTTTTTTGTTTGAAGATAAAATATTAAAAAAGACTCTAATCGCAACGGTGGTCCGGTCACCAGGCATGAGCCACGGTGTATATCACTTCTGAGGCAATAACGTGGTGTGCTGTTATCATTATTGAGCCAATTTTATGTTTTAAGATAATGTCGTTTCACACAAAGCCTGTATTTATTTCGTTAATCTGTAATAATTACGTTTAATTTATTCTCAAGTATACCGGGGCAATAATTTATGAAATATTGCTTTATAATTATGAAACGAAGTGTCACTTTCTGACAACTCTTGTATCCCACGAAGACGAATAAGCGGTAGCCGACACCCACTGACATCGTGGTGCCAATACCACAAACGGCGATACTACGGCTTCTACAAAATTCACTGCACTGCAGGGTCTTTTTTCTTACAACACAGCGATTTTTTCCAGTTGAAAACATTATACATTGCAGTTTCATTATCTAAATATTTTGATAAAAATTTATGTCGTTTTTACGAAGTTTAATGGAATGTTTCTGTTTAAATTTTGTATTGTAACTTTCATATTTGTATTTCGTCTCTCACATATGTATCGTATAAATTCAATTACAATTTTTCTAATTCAAAATGTCTTCTTAATGAAATACAGCTATTTAGATGCAGAAACTGTGCCTGCAGATAACGCGAAATTAACCATTTTACTGCTGGCTACAATGCACAGCACGAAATTTAGGTTGCACATATTTAATATGACAAACGCACATTTTCTACAGATTTACGATTTTTTCCTTTAATGTTATGTTGTTGACAAAATTGTTCGATTTTTTATATTCCTTCAAAGCGATTTGAATTAAGCTATTGTTTTACCGTACCAAAAATAATAAGAAATTATTTTATCTTTAAACACAATAGGAAATTATTTTATCGAAGTTCCTTAAAATTCAAAGTAAAGCATATATTTCCTTGTGAATTATTTGCATGTATGATAAACGATGACAACCAGAAAGACAAATATGATTTAAGCAGTAACCACATTGTATCTGAAGTGTCAAACGATTGTATCTTAAGTTTAAAAAATTTGTACCTGAAGTGTCAGTTACCACACTCATAAGTCGTTAAGAGTATTCCAGTACATCACATGACACAATGAATCTTTTCCAAACAACGACCATAAATTTATCTAGGTATACAGGTATCCGTTGACTAATTGCTATGAAAGGTCTGATACCTGTACGTAAGAGTTTTCCAGTCGCTGTAACACACAAGGCTCTCTCTCATACCAGACTGACAGGCACAAAGTGTCGACTTATAAACACGACGATTTTCCAATCGAAATGTCGCTAAGAGCTTGTCCAATAGTTACCAACACTCAAGAATGTTTACCAATATTTCTCGGCACAGATTGATCCTTTACTGACGATTTGATTTTCTCTATGTGTTTCTATACGCGATGTCTCGTTAGATTGTAAAGAAGACATATTGCCAATCTGAATCTGCTATACCTGATGACTATAGCTTTGGGAATCGGAGACCAGAAACCTCTGCGATTGGCTGTTTGCGGTCACTTACTCAAGCACAGACCAACAAGCAGGTCTACACTGGACTATGCATTAGAGAAATATTTCGGTTATTGAAATTCCCCAGAGAGGGGTATTGGCTGGAGAAGGACTGACAGACTGTGATGATTAGCGTTAGACAGCGTTAGGACGGAGGTCCAATTAGGCGCCCTACGATCGCCCATGGGTACGACCAACAACTCCTGAATGAGTCAATAGATAACCGATGTAGATGGACCCACTCGATGTGTTTTACAGCTCGAATCATTATTTCAAAACATCAAAGTAAAACATTTTCATATATATATATTTTTTAAAAAAATCCTCAACCGATATTTTTCTCATTATGTAGAATAACGAGTTATGTAATGTTATTTAGGAGGTAGAAATCTTGCAGGTTATCTACAACAATTATTTCGACGAAAATTAAGCCTGCTTTCCTCAGAAAATTCCCATAGCAAAAGAGATCGATACTTATGATCGATACTAAACACAGATTTTCATAATTAATAGAACAAATGTTTGTTTGATGAGGTTCAACTGTACTTATATCTGACAGACAAGCCTTCTCATTAATGACTTATATATCTGTTTATATTCAAGAACAAAATGTGATTTTGAGATTAACAGATCGAGGAACAAGAAACAAACTCTAAATTTATAATAATTATACATTTTATAGAATGCAAAAACTGTAAAAAAAATTCGAGAGAGAATATTGATTTTATTTGTTTTCAAATGTTGCAAAGGAAATCGAGGTCATGATACGTAATACAATATTAAAGAGTTACACTACAGGACTTGGGGGATAAGCGGAAATTCTGAATACAGTATTTAGTATTTTCAGAAACGTGCATTATGATATCAAATTTAAAGCATGCATGACTGATTGATAATTTTGCTGGACTTTATAGGTCGTGCTCGACCATGTGGATTTTTCCCTGGGTACTCCGGTGTCTTCCCTCAGTGCGAAGATCCCCCGCACGCTTCCAGCCCGACCAATAAGATTTGATTTATATAAACTGTTAGTTTGTTTCGCAGGCTTTGTAAAATAAATAAAGTCTATAATTATATTCACTGTCTAAGTTCATTATGTATTGTAATTATCTTATTCTATGTCAGGAGAGGGTGTTTTTAAACTTCTGTTATGCTAAATTTATTACGGACGAATGAGACGTGTTACAAACGGACGCATGGACACATGACAACTCCATTCACTTAATGTAAAAATATAAATTCCTTATAAAACTTCGTTATCACATCTTAAGACAACTATGTAATGACGAACTATTGGACAGTTTAATCGAGAAGAAATTTATAAAATGTCTATGTGCTGAGCGTATCTGCCCAAATAGTAAGACTACAGACGCCAGTTACCATAACGTTCCAGGATTGGTCCAGGACAAGGCTTTTATTACATCTAGACCCCAACAAACCGAACATGTACATACAGCGCAAAATCAGCGGTATTAAAACAAATAGACGTGTAATAACTTCAATATTTTGCGATATAGAGAATTTAAATTTAAAAAACGGATGTAGTTTTTCATTTGTACCATCGGAGGTTTGATGTGCCGATGCTCGTTAGCATGCCTGGTGTTTTCGAAGTTAAAAAAAAACAAACACAAAGCAATACCGACGATGACACTGGTCTTGTCAATATTGATCAAAACAGGTAAGAAATGTCACGTTCTCAAATAAGAACAAGGATAACAATAATGGAACCACCAGGCAAAGTAACGAGTATCAAATCACGTCCAACTTAAACATATCTGACCGATAAGTATAATCCTTGATTTTTTAAATGATTTCTCTTATTCAGTTTATAATCATAAACTCAAATATTTGCGCAATTAAAATTGGCCATTTTTTCAATACATATATATGTCCAGTTCTGATGGTGTTTTCATTTTACACAACTGCGTTCTCAGAGCTCTTTAAAGTGTTGCCTTGTAAAATAAAATTAATTCTGAAGTGAAACGGGATGCACTGTTTGTTTATAATCTGTTTTTTGAAATCACATTATATAAGTAATGCAATTGTATCAATGAGAATTCGAAATTATTGTTTAAGCAAATGTGGAAGACATGTTTGTGTAAAAAAAGGAAAGCTAGCTTATAGCCTTAACGCTACCAAAGATATAAATACTTAAAAAATACCAGCCGTAATGTGGAGTTAGAAATAGATACAAAGGAACAAAAATGGATCTTTATGTAGAGACAAAAATAGATCGAAGATAGATAGAAAAGGATACACAGGGTCAAAATAGATTAATAAATAAATTTGATAGGAAATCCATGAAATATATCCAAAACATTCTCAAGAAAATTGTCCATGAATTACGAAATACCTTAAGATTACATACATAATACGTTGTACTGTCAGAAGTTAACACAAACCGGGTAATAGATCATCGGCTTCGGCAATAAGATCTGTTTGTCAATAAAAACTGATAGATGTAGATAAGAGAGTTGATAATCAAGGCATTATGTATTAATGTCTCACCAGTTTGTTTTAAATAGTTCCACTCGTTAGAACAACTACTTCACCATACAGTAAATTAGCCACGGTTAGTATGGCAAGTAATTGTATCGTGGCTGTTTAGGAACGACAACTCTGATAGAGATTGTGGCGTCATACGCCGGGTATTTGGGTGAATAACAAAATTTTAATTCATGCCAATTTTGTTTGTTCAAACCCTTCTTAACATTAAATAAAAAAAACCAAAAGTATGTTAAAGAAATTCAGGAAGACGAAAAATGCTGTCATAATATTTTTGATAAACAATAGACACAAGTTAAGTGCATGGCACCTAAGCTCCTTGTTTTTTTTCATTTCCGGAAGATTTTTTCTCCGAAGGATCGTGTCTTGAGATCTCGTCCTATACGGGAATAAAACGTGGTCTTATACATGTGATTAGATAGAGTAAAGCCAGACATTCAACTCCATCATACAGCTGTATTGTCCTCCTGGGACTCATCATAGCGTCTTGATCGAACGATAAATTTTGCAATTCTCATGTATCTGATATTTTCAAAAGAACATCAAGAACATGTGTATACATATGTATTCTGAACCGTACCACTTCTCGAATGTATTGGAACGTTTCGCACAGGCTACGGTAAACTTCGGGGACTAATATTCCACTAGCGGTGTCTTCAACCTACAATGGAACAATGGTAAGGCTTCTTTGGTGGTAAGATTTCGTTATCTTCCACTGTTACCTCCACTCTATGTCAACACTTCATGATGTAATTGATATGGATGTAGGTAGTGCGACAGCCAGTTCACTTTGACTTTAAATCGTGTTTCTTGCGTCTTCCATTTTATCTAGTAATGATTACAGGAAATGGGAAAATTACGGAATTTAGACATTTCCAGAAAGCGTCTTATCATTGAAATCACTGACAATGCGACTGAGGTTGATAAACCTTGATCGTAATTAAGGTATATTGCTTTCGCCTTTCCCTATATCATGTCGTTCTTTGACTTATTTTCAACCAGAGACATTCTGAAAAGGTCTTAATTTCATTCCGAAAGTATCATATCCACCGCGACAGGTAAACATAACCAAGATTTTACAAGATTTCAAAGATTAGCAAAATCCAAAAGAATTCAAAATGGAGGGGATATTTGTAGTGTTAGATAAAAAGTTACAAATGAATATAGGACTATTTGTCCCAAACCTGTCGGGTATACTATAAAGACATATATTTCTTACTCCGACAAAGTACGGTTAAGCTATTTACAATTATACATGTATACTTTTCTTTGTATTTTCATAAATTTTATCATTGTGACTGTCTATCGTGTACTAAAACTACGTAATATACATTACCTATTGTTACACATGTCTGAGTGAAAAAAAATCTTAGAAAATTCTGGAAAAACTTGTTAAGTGGAAGATTGTCTTCATGACAGAAGATATTTTAGTGTTTTAAGTGATCTGCGACCTTGGTGTGACGGAGGAGCCATTTTTTCCATTGCCAAACCACAGCTTTTTAAAAGTCTACAGAAGGAATTTCAATCTACACATTAAAAGCAACTCCGCCTAGTGAACTATCAAATACACTAAAGGCAATGCGTTATGTCCAATATTCACGGACTAAAATGTTTCGTCTGGAAACTTATATGACTTGGAAATCACGCCTCAGTGTAAGAATACAATACATATATATATACATGTACAGAAGATGATATTCTTTGTTGCTTAATAAATAACTTTTCACCGAATGCAATGGAAACTTATATTTTCACGAGTGCCCTGCACGAGATTGGTGAAGATTTATTGAAAATATGACAACTTTTCACAGAATGAAAATATCACTTATAACTACGAAAAAATGTAATGAATTTCGCTTTTGTCGAGACTGGGTGAAATTCTTTAAATACTCGTGGTGATTGAGGTGTTTATTTTTTGAAGTTATGACATATTATCTAAATAATACATCACACACACACACACACACACACACACACACACACACACATATATAACATATATAAAACATGTTTTAACCCCTAACAAACTGTTTAACGCTTCAGCATTCGTCTTCGTGCTGTGTGTGGTGTTTCACGTCACCATTCATACAGTTTTCGTGCTGTGTGTGGTGTTTACTATATCACCATTCACACAGTTTTCGTGCTGTGTGTGGTGTTTACTATATCACCATTCACACAGTTTTCGTGCTGTGTGTAGTGTTTTCTATATCACCATTCACACAGTTTTCATGCTGTGTGTGGTGTTTTCTATATCACCATTCACACAGTTTTCATGCTGTGTGTGTTGTTTTCTATATCACCATTCAATGACAGAGCAGATGACCATGAAGGTCCTTTGATATTTTGTTGTAACAAATGTCCTATAACTAGTA